CGGAGCAGAGGTGGGCCCCTGGGTCAGCGCTGGGCCTGGGGGGGACACGGGTGCCTCACGGAGCAGAGGTGGGCCCCTGGGTCAGCGCTGGGCCCGGGGGGACAGGGGCGCCCCTGTTGTCTGCCACGTGCTGGGTGGTGGGTCTGGGGGGGCCCCTCCTCAGGACTTGGGCTCTGTGACCCTGGAGGACCTAGGAAGGGGCCTGGCCTGCCCTGTGGCTCCATGGTGTTATTGCCCCGTACCCCAGATAATGAGGGGAACCTCTGTGAGATGACAGGCCCTGGACCCCAAGCTCTGTGTCCTCTTTCCTGACCCTGCCTCCTGCCTCTGGACAGTGTGGACTGCTGCTCCCCCTGAGGGTGCCCTGGCCGGCTGGGGTCCCTTCTCTGACGTACTCTCCTGCCCTCCCCAGGCAGATGCTGCTGTACTCCCAGGAAGTGGAGGGAGACTACAACCCATGTGAGGAGGACCTCTTTGTGCTGTGAGTCAGCACGGGCCTGCCCTGCCATGACCACCCTGTCCCCCACCCCCGGTCCAATCCAGGGACACAGAGAGCTGGGCTCTGGGGATGTCTGGGCACTGGGGGTGGGGGCAGGTTGAGGGGCAGCCCATCAAGAGAAGTTGGGGGTGTCTGAGCACTGGGAGGAGTTGGGTTATGTCCCAGAACTAGCTTTCTTCTTTCTTAAAAGATATTTCCACTTGATTTTTGAAACATTTTGAGGGCTCTGGATGGTTCCCACATGTGGATTCAGGGGTGAGAGCCAACATCTTGCCTTCCGCCGTTTCCTGAGTCTTGTCTGGCAAATGCAGGTTTTTCCTAGAGCAGAACAACCGGATATTCCAGACGTTGCTGGAGGTTTCTGCGAGTCAAGACAAGACGCTGACAGCTGAGCATGCCCGGGGCATGGGCCTCGACCCCCAGGGGGACCGCAGCTTCCTCGTGGACTTGCTGGAGGCCTATGGGATTGATGTCATGCTGGTCATCGACAACCCCTGCTGCCCGTAGGAGATGAGGCTGAGGCCGGGAGCTGCTTTGTCCAGGAAGCGCTGCCTGAGTCTGGGTAGGCCCCGTGGCCTCATGTTTTTAATGAGTCGACACAAAGGGATATTGTTGGTATTTCCCAACAAATGCAATTTTTTTGCATTTTTTGCATATTTCTTCCCTTCTTCCCTAGAGGTAAGATAAGGCCACCTTGGCTTTGTGCCTTGTGTTGGGAGATGTTGAGCTCCACCACATTCTCCCAAGAGCCCATCCATGGTCTTAGGTGTCAGAGTGGACACTGGTCACTTGGGGAAGGACCTGGGAGTTGTGAAGAGCCTGCCATCACTGGGAGGACATCATATTGGAATGGATGGTTGAGGAAGTCGGTGTTGTGTCTGTCCCTTGATGTGCTTAAGAGTAAGACAGCGTGGACTTAGCTGTGCTTCTGCTTATGGCCCAAGGTAGACCAGATGGCCACTGTCCAGTTGTGCAAGTCTGTACCTTGGGCTGAATCTAAGTTTTCTCTGTTCACCAGGGTGGGGACCTCAAAGAGGGACCTGTGGTGTTTTTGATGTTGAGCTCAAGCTTCTTTAGTGACGTGGTTGACAGCTGAAACTGAAATGGTAGAATGAAGCCTTGAACTCTTCCCAAGTCTGTTCCTCGTGGCCACCCAAGGTGATACTCCTTGTTCTCTGACTCTGTTCCTCCTGTGAGCCAGAATGGCCGAGTTTGCAAGCAAACCTGTGTCCCCTTGAGTCTCCAGGAGGGTGTGGGCATTGGTGAAGGGTGGACGGAGTTCATGGACACCAGAGGTGGTGATGGTTTGAGCAGGATGGAGACAGCTCTTGGATGAGAGCTCTCTGCTGGTGCTGCTGGCGGAACCTCTGAACCAAAACAGGCTCCCCGGATTCCGAAACCCAGCAAGTATGATGGCTGGTTAGCTCAGGTTGGGCTATGACACTAAACTGACTGCTTACCAGTTTAGATCCTAGAACACGTCTCTCAGGTAGAGGAGACATGGGACTAGAGATATAGATTGTTGTTGTTATTGTTAAGTGCCGTCGATTCGGTTCCGACTCATAGCGACTCTGTATAGGGTTTCCGAGGCACGGCTGGTGAGCTTGAACTGCCAACCTTTGTGGTTCAAACTGACTTTGCAGTCCAGTGCATTACCCTGCAGCGCCACACCAGGACTCTTAACAGCATAAATTGGTTAGAGAGAAAATGTCAGTGCCTTCTCCGGGCACCCTGAGTGTCAGGAATGAACAAACGCATGCGTGCTCCTTGGATGTGCTCTGCTTTGGGACCAGTCCAGTTACTTCTTGTGCGGACCATGGGGAAACAGCCCCTGTTCATGAACCCTAGTAAGAGACCTCCTCTGGGATCTTGACTGTGGATTCTGGGTTGTTGGTTGTTGACAGATGACTTCACCTCCTTCCTGCTCCCTGTTGGCTCTGTATGGGAATAGCTGCCCATGGGTCCATGCAGGTGACCGGGCCCGAGTCAGGCTCATGTGCCTAGCACCTGGACAGTCACACATCTATCAAGACCAGACTCTTAGGGTTGATTGTATTTTCTCTGTGCCTCCTGAACAGGAAGCTCAAGGCGAGCCTGAGGGAACACAGATAGACATTGGCTGGTTGAGGTAGCGGCTTTTCTGTAAATGCATAAACAGGTGTAGGCATTTATGTGGAAGATCAGCACAGAATCCAGTCTGCTCCTCTTCAAGGTGGGCTCAGCACACATCTCGGTGACATCTGTATTTACTGGCTTTCCTTTGTGGGCCTTCTCTTCCAGCCTTGGATCAAGGGCTGACTCTGGAGTGGTACCCTCAGGCTCAAAGGCTTCTGGGTAGGGGAGGAGGGTGAGCAGTTGGGGCACGGTCCTCTGGAACTTGCTGGAAGGCCTGGGTTCCTTTGAAAGGTATTCTGTTCTTGGTGGTTGTCTGTCTAGCCTCTCCTTGGTCTCAAGCGCACACAGAGGGCCTGGTCTGGTGGTCGCAGAACTGACCACTGGCCAGGTTGGCTCAGAGTGGAATCTGCCATGCTTGCCTCTAGTCCCTGGAAGAGGAGACCCATGGGTTGGGCCTTCTCCCCATTTCCCCACAGGACAGAGACTTTGAGAAGCCCTGTGCCCTGACAGCATGTGCATTCCCCCTTCATCCCCCTGGTCACCCGTCTTAGCCCCTAGGTGAGTCTTACCTGGGGTGTGAGATGGAACCCCCTCCCTGCCTCTCCCTATGTTCAGCTTCCCCCACATTATCTGTGCCTGTTTCCTGTATGGGGTCGGCGGTGTTGTGTTCTGAAGAGACTGTGTTCAGGAGAAGGCAGTGACTCCCCCTCACAGTCTTCTTATCAAAAAGCCCTGTGGGGGCAGGATCAGGAACCCCCAGGCCTTGGGGAGCAGGCTGGAAGTCTAGGAGGCCATCTCCCTCCTCTCCCACCCCACCTTCCCACCCCTGCTGAGTTCTGGGGCTGCCAATTGAGGCCCATGACCCGCTGTGAAACTGCGAACATTTCTGTTCGGTCTTCCTGAACCCAGCTAGAGGGGCCCCCTGAGCAAGATTCCTTAGGGGCGGGGGGTTAGAATCCAGGTTTGGAATGGGTTGAGATTCACTGTTTTTCACATCACTCCGTATGCTTGGCATATGGTTGTCCTTGTTGTCTGGGAACACGTCCAGTTGTCCTCAAGGTTGGAGATCTGCCCCAGGAGTTGACATGGGCCCATGGATGTGTCTGGAATTACTTTTGGCTCGAGTTGAGCACGAAGCATTGACTTATCCCACCTCGCCACCATCCTACCTGGACCCTGCGGTGAGAGGAGCCAAAGGCGCGTGCCTACTATACCTGGTCTTCCATTGGCACCTGTATGTAACTCACCTTGTGTTCCATGTGAGAGTCAACATGGGAAACTCAAGAGCAGCACACAGGTGTGGAGAATCCCAAGTGCCACTGGAAGGCACACTCCTCAGGATGTATTGACGACCGAGGTGGAGCTGGGTCACAGTTCTGGCAGCCCTGAGGATGAACTGGACACACTGAGAGGCCGTCACTGTTGTCAGAGGTCTGTATGGTCACCCTGAACACCAGTTCTGCAGGAACGAGCCCCTAGTAAAGGCAGGGGCCCCAGGACCAGCTCTTTCCCTTAGCTGCCTCACTCCCCCCAGGCCCGGCAGTCACCCTTAAAGATGCAGACCAGGGGACCTGGGTGTGTTGAGTAAGACTGCAAGGCCACGTTCAGCTTGAACAAGAATCTGCCAGTTTCAACCGGGCAAGGACATCAACCTGGGGAGCAGCGTGGTGGCCTCTCACCTTTCCCAGCATCTCCAGTGTCCTGCAGTTGGTGCCCCACTGCCCCTGGGCTGACCTTGGCAGGTCCGGCCCATCTTTGTTTCAGGAAAACCCCTTTCTGGTTCAGGTAGGGGACGAGAAGGCGTGAAGGACCCCTGGGACTCCCTCACCGTTCTCTGTGGCACACCGATGATGATACTGCTGTTCCTCGGAGCCAACGGAGCCAAGACTCAGAGGCAGGGCCAACTGTGAATCGATGTCTCTCTGATAAGAAATGGAAGTTTATTTTTCTACCATTGTTACCATGTGATGAGTGGAGTGTGCAGATGTTGGGCTGGAAGGACGTGAGAACCATCATCCTAGAAGACGTGGGCAGTTTCATACAGACATGGTGTAGGTTGAGGTCTCCTAGTTTTATGCTTGAAGGGTTTTGGCGAATGAACCAGGAAATGACTGACATCTTTGTGGCATTCTGAGGGAGACAGGTTTGGGAGTCATGGGCTACATACGGACGTCAGCCTTCAGTAGAACGCCGACGCAGAGGTCAGCATGGTGATTCTGATCCCGGGGCCCCATCTCGATGTGAGGCAGTGTGGCATGGGAGGTTGATTTGCAATTGGCACTTTATCTCTGGAGCTGACTGTGGGGGTAGCTGAGTGGAACTGCAGGTGTAGAAAGGGAGTAAGGATTTTCTATGCTATAAAGAGAGTGAATGGCAGAGAGGTAAAACCCCCACTTCCATTTCTGTAGATTATTCTAGACTCTCAGCGTAGCATGAGCTTTTAGAGCTAAAAGGGTCTAAATGAAGAAAAGCTATTTAAATACCACAGTGGGAGGGTTGGTGTGAAGTAGTCATGTTTACTTTAGAATACTTCTACAGACTAATAATACATTTACTTTGCTTTCTGAGTACAGTTGAGGAATGCAGGGTGGAGGATTATAAACCAGCCATAGATGGCCCACAATGAAAAATCCATACATAGGTAACTGAGTTAGCAGGCTGCGGAGACATTGAATTGAAATTAGAGTGAAAATGCTTCTCTTTGGGTAAATTAGGCACAGAGGAGTTGTACGCTGATTTTTGGAGGTGGCAGTAGGAATACAAAGTTTGGATCTAGCATGTTCTCGACACCAGAAGTGAGGACCTCGTGTAGGCTCTGTTTTTCTAACAGACTGGAGGAGAATTTAGGGCAGGAAAGCAGAATAAACTTCCTTTATTGACCCAAAGCTTGTTGGCTCAATTTTTTTTTTTATAGATCTGAGAAATAAGTTCTTTCTGAAAAAAGAAATAGTTGTAACCTTGGCAAAATAGCTTCCTTTTTTTTGTTTTGTTTTGTTTTTTTCTAAGTTAGGAGCAGCCTAGCCTCTCTATCATCTTAAAAACGAAATCTCCTCTTTTAATGAATACCCCAGCACCAGAGTTACAGCAATACTACAAACAAAATCTATTTTTGTTTCAAGACTTTACCTCATCTCACTAAATTAGTAAGACAGGTCTTAGATTTTACCCACTGCGTACAAAGAGGTTGTTCTCACCCTGAGTTCCTTGGGGATTCTTTAAGGGCCTATAGGAAGGTGGCGTTCATCCTGACGTGAAGGTTGTATCTGGAGTTGATTGTATTCTGTGGTACAAATAACTTCTGTGTATATCTTATCTGTATATATCTGGATCAAGTTGTATGCAGAGAGGTGGAGATAACTATATTTACAGAAAACAATTTTTACAATTAAAATTCACATTTTAACACAAACATGCCTGTGGTGGTCCTTTACCCTGACCAAGAAACGTGCTGGGGAGGAAAGAGGTCCCAGTGCCAAGAGGGCTTGGGGGGGTGCACCCTGGTGCCACAGACACTGAAGATGGAGAGTGTTCCGTGGACCTGGTCTGGGTAAGTTCCCAGGTAATAGAAACCAGGGAGTGAGGGGGCTTCATACGACAAGCACTGGGATGCAAAACACAAGATTGGTGGTTCAAGCACCAGCCGCCCGCAGAAGGATGAGGTGCTCTGCTCCCACAAAGATGTACAAGGGGTGGGGAATGTCCTACCCACTAAATCATTTGGTCTGGTCTTGCCAAGGCAACTGCAGTTCCAGCCATCACATTGCTGTGGTTGTTAAGAGCCATAGAGTCATGACCCAGGTACGACCCACAGTGACCCTGTACGGGGTTTCCAAGGAGCAACTGGTGAACTTGAACCGTTGACCTTGCAGTTCAAACCTACTTTGCAGTCCAGCGCATTAACTCATAGTGCCACACAAGGTCTCCAGCCATCACATTAGGGGTGGGTGAGTTAATTAAATGTTTTGACAAAATATAGCAGGCTAATTGTTAAGTGGATAATTTTGTATGGCCCATGAATGAAGTTATAAATATCCAAATGGCCCTTGGCAGAAAAAGGTTCCCCACCCCTTCTCCATAGAGTCGTTATGAGTCGGAATTGACTTGACAGCACTTAACAGCAACAAAGAAAAGCCAAGGTTGTGACTAATGACCCCGTCGGAAGATCCAGGACCACACAGCACCGATCTCTCACGCTAGGTCAGAGGGCGAAGCTCTTTTGTTCTACAAAATCTCTTACCAGTGAAGCTGCATTTCAACATTCTGTACTGGGACACGTGTGCACACACACACACACACACACACACACACACACACACACAAGGTAAGTACAAAATCATCGCTACTTGGGTTCCAGGTCACACCTGCACAGGTTTATTCCATGTTGTCTCAGATCAACGGATGGCTGCAGTCAAGTTTTCTCAGTAACATACACTTGACTTGGTTTTGTTAGGGTGCATTCAAAAACAAAGATCCAATCAAAACTGGTTTCCCAGGGGATCATGTTGGCTGGTTACATTTAAGACAGATCAGCTCGGAGGAGTCCAAAGGGTAGTCTTGATAGATTTTCATGAAGCACATGGGATGATTGCAGGGGCTTGTTAGGTGCCATCAAGTCAACACTGACTCATAGCGGCCCTATGCACAACAGAACAAAACACTGCCCAGTCCTGCGCCAACCGTGCAATCACTGCTACCTGTGAGCCCACCGCTGCTGCCACTGTGCTAATCCATCTCATTGGGGGTCTTCCTTTTTCTCCGACCCTCTAGTTTACCAAACATGGTATCCTTCTCCAAGGAGCAGTCTGATAATATGTCTGGAGTATGAGAGACAAAGTCTGGTCATCCTGGCTTCCAAGGAGCACTCTGGCTATATTTCTTCCAACACAGGGATTTGTTAGGAAGCAGTGTTCAGTAAATTGAAAATTGCACTGGCGAGCAAGAGGCCAGGGAAGCTGCACTCAGAGATTTTTTTTTTTTTTTTTTTTCCTATTACAACAACGTACCTACTCATTCTTCAATGGTAGTATGGGCTGGCCTACAAAAACTTCACTGGGAAACCTTAGCCTCTCCACTCTACAGTCCTGTTCTCACCCCATCAGATTTCTTCTTGTTCCCCAAACTCAACATTGAAAAGAAACAAAAATGAGTCCCTTTTTTGAGAATGCTCTAAGTGCCATTTTGACATGCTGTAAATTGAAGAACACGGAATTCTTCAAGGAAGAGGTGTTGTGGATTGGGCACCATTGAGTCTGTTCTTCCTTGAAGAATTCCGTAGAGGGCTGGCCCTGTGCTGAGTGAGCAGGCCTTGTATTTTGTGAGCCTCATCCCTGGGCCTCTCAGAGCCGCCGTCACTCCCAGGGGTCCACAGCTGGGGGCACAGGAACTGTCTTCAAATGGCTGGAGTGAAGGCTGAACGAACATGGGTCTCCCTCACCTGATGTTGCGCCAGCCCTCTACAGAGCCAACACCACAGGGCACCACGAGAGGCTGACGTCAGAGACTAAAGTAAGCGACCCCAATAGACCCGCTGACAAAGCCTTAGCAGCTGGGGACACTTGCAGTACTTTGCTTTCAAGAAAAGAATATGAACTGGGATGCTCATCACAAAGTCAGCGGTTTGAATCCACCAGCTGCTCTACGGGAGACAGAGACATTGTGCTCCATAAAGACCACGTCTCAGAAACCCACTGGAGGGTCACTGTGAGTGGGAACCAACTCTGCACCACCACCACTTGCTGCCAGTCACCCTCGCCTCGGCTGTGACAGCGATACACAGGAAGTTCCGTGTTAGGCCAGACTGTGTCCTCCTCCACCTCCTCACCCAGGCAGGAGCGTCTCACGGCAGCCGGGGATATCATTGGTGCCTTCTCGGGAAAGTGGACTCACTGGAAAAACAGCATTTCTAGTAACGCATTAACGTTTACCAACATGTGCATGAACTGTTTTTACCATGGCTGTGCCAACAATGAGAATACAATGTATTCGGTACTGAGTTTACATTTAAGGCAGGAACCAGGAAAAATGACTCTCATGTATAATATAGTCTGTTGGCGAGGAGACACGAAGGCAGTGGAACCCCTAAGTGCTGGTGCAGAGGAGGACGGGGTGCCAGTCACGCTGCTGAAAGTGGCAGAAAGCATAGCCAAGGAGCAAAACCAAGTCCATGCCGAGCTGCCGCGTTCATTTTCCTTTCATTGGGGACTGATGTGGACCAGCTGCCGTATTGAAATGCTACTGGACAGATTGACAAGAGTGGTGTAACAACTTTATTTAACGTGTGAATATTTACATAACACCAGATAGTACAGACTTTGGCAACTATTGAACGCTTTCGTGGCCTGTGGGACGTATATGCCCCACTGATGTTTTAAGCCTCTTAGGGTTCCTGGGATGCTGCTGTCCCACTTGAATGTTCACGCTGCTGCCAGGTGTGTGACCGTGCGAATCTGAAGAAACGGGGCTCACTGGGGACATGCGTGTCCCATATCACATCAAAATCCTAATTACCACAAACGTTTCTGATTTCAGCATGCCTTCCATTACAGAAAACACACGGCAACAAAACATTGGAAGCAGAAAGTAAGTTGGTCACAGAAGGGCGAACTTACCATGAGAAATGGGAGGTGTCGCCTTAAATGTGAGGGGTCACATGATTGCTCAGAACACTTCAGGGGGGTGGGGGGGACAGGAACAGGAGCATCTGGACCACTGCTTTAAAGCACCATTTCTTCAAGGGGGAGGGACACATGCGTCTAAAAATGCAGAATCCGGACCCCACCCAGGCTGAGTGGCTGGCTCTTCCTGCAAACCAACACTTAGGAAGGGTCCCATCAGAAAAGAACCAGCATTCCAGGCCGAGGCCCTGCGGAGGACAGACGGAAGAGGACAGACTGAAATAGGAGTGTGTGTGTGTGTATGTGTGTATGGGTGTGTGTGCGTGTGTGCAGGAACCGGCCCCTCCCTGGATTCTAGGGGTTCACACAGTCCGGCCAGGCTCCCGGTCACTGACAGAGGTCTGACCCTTCCACCCAGGGATGGGGAGCCTTCTGGAAGGGGCCCGCAGCTCAGTGTCAAGAATGTCAGCAGACACACAATGAAATTTGGGGGGGCGGGGGGGAGTACTAGAAACACTGAGAGGACAGTTGCTGGGCATCCTATGAGGCTGCCCCAGGCTCTTCCGGCTCCTTCGTCTCCTGGGCCGGCCCCCGCAGCACCTGCTCCCGCCTGCTGGGGTCACAGAAGAAGTGCAGCTTCCGGGGGAGCAGGGTCACCTCCACGGGCATCGCCTCGTACTCTTCACTGTCGATGCTGAAGGAGCCGCCCACACCCTGCGGAGAGAGGACACCCACTCAGCACTAGTGCCAACGAGGTGGGATCTGGGACAGAGGCCAGGGCAGTGCCTAGAGGACACGATCCTAATGCCCACACAGTCCACCATCCACGGGGACACGACCCTAACACCCCCTCAGCCCACTGTCCATGGGGTCATGATCCTAACACCCCCTCAGCCCCATCATCCACAGGGTCACGACCCTAAAACCCCCTCAGCCCAATGTCCATGGGGTCACGACCCTAACACCCCCTCAGCCCACTGTCCACGGGGACATGACCCTAACACCCCCTCAGCCCACTGTCCACGGGGACACGACCCTAACACCCCTCAGCCCACTGTCCTGGGGAAGGATGTGAGTCCCTGCTGGGCTCTGCCTCTGCCCCGAGTGATTTGGGATTTGGTGCTAAGGGATACCTTTCCAGGGAGGGCTCCTGCCACAGCTTAATGAACTCACAAGCTCGACCCAGTCCTCTTGGCCCTAATCTCTCTAAACAGAAAAGCAGAGAAGACAGGACCCCTGACCCTAGCAACTCCCCCAAGGGCTGGCTCAGCTTCACACCCTGACAGCCTCTGGTCCTGAAGCCCCCCAGCACTGGGTACAGGACCCAGCAACACGCTCACCACTTAGATTCTGTTCACACAGGACGTTCTAAGCTCCACACGTCACAGATCTGTCCTCACAGGAGACCGAGCAACACGCTCACCACTTAGATTCTGTTCACACAGGATGTTCTAAGCTCCACACGTCACAGATCTGAACTCACGGGAGACTAAGCAACACGCTCACCACTAAGATTCTGTTCACACAGGACATTCTAAGCTCGACACGTCACAGACCTGTCCTTACGGGAGACCGGACAGCGGGGCTGTACTGCTCGGAGAATCTCGTCTGTAAATGGATGTCTGAGATTGAAGGCTGCCGATATCATGTTAGGGGTGTTACAGGAATGTGTATACACACAGGATGTGGAACATATGTCATGTATGTGAGTGTTAGGAGTGTGCACACAGAGAATGGGACACATATGTCATGTATATGTTAGGAGCGTGTGCACATGGGACAGGGTACAAGTGCTGTGGGTGTTCTGGAGCATGTGTGCATGGGATGCATGTGTGTACCCATAGGATGGGGGTACACTGTCATGTATGTGTGTGAGAAGTGTGTGCACACAAGATGGGGTACATGTGTCATGTATGTGTGAGAAGTGTGTGCACACAGGATGGGGTACATGTGTCATGTATGTGTGTTAGGAATGTGTACCCACAGGATGGGGGTACACTGTCATGTGACACTATCTGTCTCAGATCCTGCTAGAAACACTGGGGCAGTGTCCACTATTCCCTGGGCCCCTGGAGAACGTCTCGTGTGCTGCACAACTTCCTCGTGGAAGCAGGAAGGCTCAGGAGATGGAAAGACTCCCCAAAACTTGGAGAAAGTGGAATGAAGCCTAGGGTCTCCAGGAGGCCCACTCTTAACCCACAGTCAAGGGGCACCTGCCCACCTTCCATGGCTCCCCAGGAAGCAGAGCCTGGTGGGGGCCTGGATGTGGGTGGGCAATAAGGAAGGAGGAGGAGACTGACCTCGGGCAGCAGCAGTGAGCACTTGCTGGCCTGCAGGTACTGGGTGCCCACGGGGCACAGGGTGGGCTCTCGCATCCTCTTGCTCCTGTTGGTGAAGCAGAGAAAGCAGGTTTAACACCAAAGGCAGTGAAAACGCAGCACACTGGTCCTCTCTCCGGCTCCCAGCCTGGGATCCCACGTCGATTCCTGCTCCGTGTGATCTGTTAACAACTTCAGGTCTAAAAAGCTGAACTCAGTTCTTCAGGACACGTATGGGAGGGTTCTTGTTCTTGGGGTAGTTGATTACTGGAAGGAGAACATTTTCAGTGTACTTCGATCACACATATGAAGACCCAGTCTTAGCTCAGAGGGCTCCCATGTTCATTCTAACAGTCAGCAGGGGTCACTCCACTGCTGACAGAAAGGGCAGCCATCCCAAACTAGCAGGGATCAGGGGAGAAAGTGAGGTGGTCTGAGCTGCTCAGTCCTGGAAACCCTGTGGGGAGTGCTACACCGTCCTGGAGGTTCGCCTGAACCGGAACCAGCCAGACAGCAGAGCACACGTGCCTTTAACACCACTAAGTGGTTTTAAATAGAACTGCCATGATCCACACACAGAGTCCTAACATGTGTGTTCATGACACACACTGCATCTCGTGTGTACACACTCCCTGACACATATACGAGACTACATACCCCACCCTATGCATACACATGCCTAACATGTATATTACACAGAGAGACTGCATCTCATATCTACACACTCCCTGGTACACATACATGACACACATACCCCATCCTACATGTACACACCCCTCTAACACACATGCAGGACACATGTACCCCATCTGGTGAGTACACACTCCTAACATGTGTATTACACACACATATGCATCTGTGTACACACTCCCCAGTATACACACAACACACATACCCCATCCTATGTGTACACATCCATCCAACACATACATAACACCTGTACCCCACCCTATGGGTACACACTCCTAAGTATTACACACACATACTCCATCTCATGTGTACACACTCCCTGACACACATACATGACGCATGCACCCCGTCCTGTGTACACACTCCTTCTAACACACATACAGGACGTACGTATTCTATCCTATGTATACACACCTCCCTCTAACACACCCCTGATGTGATACGGTAGCATCCGTTTACAGACGAGATCTCTGCAGGCCTGGCCCACTGGCTGGTCTCCCAAGAGGACAGAAGTAAGGCCTTGCCGCTGCTCTTGACTGCAGATGCAGACAGCAAACCAAAGGCTGCTCAACACAGGGGTGCAGGCCCAAGGGGGGCACAGCAGAAGTTGAGGATGCTGGGCAGCGAGGTCAGGTCAGGCCTGGGGACACTGGTCTCATCCAACCCCGTGTGGGCAACAGGGGGCGCTCCAGGGCAGGGCCCAGGCAGAGAGGAGGGCTACAGAGCTTGGCAGAGAGGGCTGGCCTGCGGGCAGGAGGCACTGAGGCAGAGCCTGAAGGGCATTCATGGTTGCTGGGGAGTGGGGTTTACAGAAGCCCACCACACACCGTCCAGTGAGGCAGCAGAAGGCTCGTTTGTCTGCTGTGATGTTGGAACCCTCGTTCGTTTCCTTCCGTTAGTCTTTTATTTTAACTGGGGTGAAACTTTACTGTGCAAACTAGTTTCCCATTGAGCAATTTACACACGTTGCATTTCCAGGCACAGTGTGTAACCCCATGCACACTTCCTGCATCCTCCCTGGGTCCCTGTTTCCCTGGGTCCTTCTTTCTTGTCCCTTCCTGCCCCGTGGGCTTTGTCTCGGGGCCAGGGCGGCATTTGGAGCTCCTAAGTTTGGTTGGAAGTAGAGTTCTGCCGCCTGGCACAGGGGCCTGTCGTACCCCGAGCCCCAGTGTGAGCTGGACAGCAGAGGGGCAGTGTGTATACGGCCACACTGAGCAGGGACCCCCGGCCTGTGGTAGCCCGAGCCCCAGTGTGAGCTGGAAAACAGAGGGGCAGTGTGCATATGGCCACACTGAGCAGGGACCCCCGGCCTGTGGTACCCCGAGCCCCACCATGAGTGGGGATAGCAGAGGGGCAGTGTGCACACAGCCTCAGTGAGGTAAACACTGAGGGCCCCACCCCACACCCCGGCCTTTACCACCTGCGCCCCCAACTGCGGGCAGTGACAGCCGAGGGGCAGTGTGCCATGGACTCTAACACTACAGAGCACCTGAGGAGGAAGCCCCAGACCCCCACTCACCCGATACTGATGAAGTCTCCTTTGCTGACCATGTCGGGCTCAATGCAGATGTTCATGAAGTCCTCTGTGCTCTGAAAGAGAGGGGCTCAGCCTCAGAGCCCGCCCCGGACCTGCACCCTACAGAGTCCCTGTTCTTGCTGCCGTATCATAGCGTCCCCGTCGGAACATTCCTCAACATCTTGTTTCTACTATAGGAACCACATACAGAGGCCACGCTCAGGACGGCATTTCTGAAGTTCCGCCACCAACAGTCCAGAGTCACTCAGGGACACTATGGGTTTGGGTCCAGACCATCACAGTCAGCCAAGGACGTGATAAAGCGAATTGTGCATTGTTGAGTTTCCCGGTGCATGTGACAGTGGTGTGTGGACTCTGCTGTTGTCTATGAAGTGTGTGGTAACATGACGAGAAAGTCTGGAGAGTCATGAGAATGACTCAATGGGACACAGAAAGCCGAAGTGAACGCATGCTGTTGGAAAAAAGGCCCCCAGGGAGCAGCGCAACGCAGGGTTGTCACACTGTCAACCTGTCAAGACTGCCACAGGCCTGTCCTTACAGCCACATGGGCGCCCCACCAGCCCTCCTGCCTGCTGCCAGGGAGTGCTCATGCATCTGCATTCTCATACAGGCAGGGATGCCGGGGTTGGAATGCTGCCCAATCTTTTGTTGAGACCCCAGAAAGCTGTGGGAGTGAGCCATGGCATCCTGTCTGTAAGCACAGGCCTGCCTCCGTGCCATCCGTAGTCCCCCCAGCAACAGGACACCCCAACCTTTAAGCTCCGAGACTTGGTTTCTCTGCAACTGGTGGTCCCTGGAAAAGTCATGGGCATTGTTCTATTGGAACAACTGCCTCTTGGTCCAGGTACAGATTCCTCATGAGCACAATTAAGTGTTCCGGAATACTCATACTTCGCAGTGTTGTCCGTAGCTTGTCATGATCCACACAATCGAAAGCCTTCGCGTAGTCAATAAAGCACAGGTAAACATCTTTCTGGTATTCTCTGCTTCCAGCCAAGATCCATCGGATATCAGCAATGATATCCCTCATTCCACAGCCTCTTCTGAATCCGGCTTGAACCTCTGGAAGTTCTCTGTCAATGTATGATTGCAGCTGTTTCTGTATTACCTTTAGTAAAACTTTACTCACATAGGATATCAAAGAGATTGTTCGATGATTTCCGCATTCCGTTGGGTCATCTCTCTTTGCAATGGGCACAAATACGGATCTCTTCCAATCAGTTGGCCAGATGATTGTCTCCCAAATTTCTTGGCAGAGATGAGTGAGTGCCTCCTGTGCCACCCCACTTTGTTGAAAGATTTCAATTTGTATTCCATCAATTCCTGGTGCCTTGTTTTTTGTCAATGCATTTAATGCACCTTGGACTTCTTCCTTCAGGATTGGCTCTTGATCATATGCTACTTCTTGAAACAGTTGAACATCAACCATTTCCTTTTGGTACAGTGACTCTGTGTATACCTTCTATCTTCTTTTAATACTTTCTGCATCATTCAGTATTTTGCCCAGAGAAAAAGTTGGTAGAATTCTCCAATTTCATCATCACTGGCTTTAGTGGTTTTGTGTAACTTTGAATAACAGTGGTATTAGCTGGTCTTCCTTGTAGGCATGTGGATATTATCCTATCTCAGACAGTGATGTACTTCAAGATACATCTTGAGACGTTCTTTTTTATGACGAATGTGGCACTGTTCCTCCTCAATTTGTCGTTCCCAGCATAGCAAATCATGTGATTGTCAGATTCGAAATGGCCAATACCAATTCAGTAATTTCTGGGATAATGATGTTTATGTATTCCATTTCATTTTGACAACTTCCACTTTTCCTAGTCATACGTCGTACATTCTATGTTCCAATTATTTATTCATGGATGCTGACAGCTGTCTCTCCTCAGTTTGAGTTGTGCCCCACCAGCAAATGAAGGTCCTGAAAGCTTTACTCCATCATGGTCAACCCTCCTTTGAGGAGGCAGCTCTTCCCCAGCCTTCCATGCTGAGGGGCTCATCTTCTGGCATGGTATCTGGCAAGTGTCACTGCTATTCATATGGTTTCAGTGGCTAAACAGTCCCAAGAAGTCTGTCTCTCCTTCTTCTTCATCTGTCTTTGTCTGGAAGCTCAGCTGAAACCTGTCCACCGTGGGTAGTATTTAAAATATCAACGGCATAGCTTCTACAGCACAGCGACATGCAAGCCACCACAGTATGACGCACTGACAGATGCGGGGTGGCGCACGCTTCCTGCTTGTCCTCATCCTTTGGCTCGATCCTCCCGGGGCACAAACACACAGTCAGTCTAAGAGCAGTCTAAGATGTCACCTGTCAGGTGCATCTCCTCCTCACGTATGAACATCACCTTCCAGGTACAAACGCCTGCTAATATAACCCCCAGTGTCCAGCACAATTCAGCTCCCACTACTAACACTGACATTGCATGTCACCTTCCAGGTACGAACACCTGCCTAGTATAATCCACCAGCACACTCACCGCCAGGTCGAGCCTCTGGTTCCGGGTCGTGATGGATAGTTCAATGGTGGACAGCTGCACTTCCTTCCAGACCTCAGGGCACGTCTCTCTGGAGCGGGCTGCACGTCCACAGGACACAGGTCAGTGTGGCCCCTACCTCTCCACCCCAACCATTGGCATCCCTGGGCTCTGCCCCCTACCCTTCAGCAGCCTCTTGGTCTCTCAGGTCTTACACCGTCCGGCCACCCCCACAAGCGGTCACAGCCGTGCCGGTTGGGACAGGGAGGGGCCAGTGCGTGTCACAAAGACAGAAGCAGGTGCATCCAGCGCCCCATGGTTGCCCTTGTGTGGTGCAGGGGTGGGGGGGAAACTAGTGTTCACAACAGAGGAAGCTGTGTGCAGGGCTCACGGGGCTCTGTGCTTCCATCCTGTACCACCTGTGACTGTTCTCATGCCCCTCCTGTGGACACTGCCGCAGCGAGGGTGTGTGGGAGGCTGCCCACGTGGCCCCTGGACGGCACCCCTGTTCCAGCTGGGTCTGAGACGGACTGGGGTGCTGGGGTGTCCCGAGGCCAGCACCATGCCGCTCACCATCCTGTGGCTGTGCCCAGTAGGAGGCCAGCCTCCGCAGAATCCTCCGGTACAGTGAGGGTCGTGGGGGCACCCCTTCTGGCTTGCTGGGGGGTCTCGGTGTGGGTCCTGTGTACACAATCGAGGCCTGGTGTGTCTGTGGCCACTCCTTATTGAAGGGACAGAGGGAGACAATGCGGTTACACCCAGCCTGCTCTGGCCTCTGGTCTAGGCAGTTTCCTCCTGAACACCTTGAGCCCTGTGGCTGCCCATCCACTGCCTGCCTCCGTCCAGGGCCTGTCTGACTTGGAGCAGAGACTCCTCACAGATCCCCACCTGGGACACAGGATGAGGAGAGGCGATCCCTGCAGGGTCCCCACCCCTGAGGCTTCCAGCCAACGCATCATCTCATGCTGAGGATCTGTCTCCTACTCCTGGCCACACCAGTACCTCACAGCTATTCTCTCAGCCTGAAGCCCACCACAGACACGCTCTGGTCTATTGTGGGCCTCTGAGCCCCTGGTCCCACCCTCTAGTTGCTGCCTGTATTCTGGGCTCCTGTGTCCAGGTTGCTTCGTAGGGTGCATGGTTCCCTGCTCTCAGGCATTCCTGAGGGAGTTACAAAGAGGGACCGCTCTGGCCCACCGCATCCCACCCAGTCCACAGGACCCAGTGTGCACCTGGCCTGCCGCCCTTGGACCTCACACGCCACGGCCTCCCCACGCAGGAAGCCCAGGGTAGGCGCATTCGGGGCAGGAGGCCAGTTAGCAGTCTCCTGACACAGTGCCGCCCGGACTCCGAACCTGCTGCTGGGCCACGGCCCACTCTCAGCACAGGGAGAGGTGCTACTCTCTCAGCCTGCAGTTTCTCCTCACCAGTGTGGACCCTTCATCCCGAGCTCATGCTGTCATCTTGCCTGGTCCTCGCTCACCCCAACATGTGCCCCCAAGAGCTGATTCTGGGCGGGTCCGGTCAGTGGGTTTCAGATTTCTGCGTCTCAGAAACCCTACTGTCCCACTGCTAGAATCAAACCAATGGCATGGGGGGTTCTGGGTTCTGGGGTCAGGGCTAACTTCTAAAATCCTCCAAAAATTGAATGATCCTATTATATTACCTCTCAGCATCACCAGCCATCTACAAGAGGAAGACTGGCAGTCTGCTCTATAAAGACGGCAGCTGCGGAAGCCCACGAGTCGGCTCCACCTGCCCTACAGCCTGTGACGTTGGAAACGATGATGGCCGTGGGTTTGGGTTTGACTTTTGCTCCAACCATGAGAAGAAGACCTGGTGGCGCACTGGGTACGAACTCAGCTGCTGATCAAAAGGTTGGTGGTTCTAACCCATCAGCTACTCCATGGAAGCAGTTTGCTTCCTTAAAAATGACAGGTGGACACTGTCCTGCAGGGTGGCTATGCGTCAGAACCGTCCCCACAGCACATCTCAGTATTGCTGGAGGACTGAGAGGAAAGAAAACTCACCCCAAAGTGGTCCATGGGGCGTCACCCATGCTCCTGCTCTCGGGTCCCCACTGCTCCAACGCTCCTGGTGCCCCACACCCACCTCACTCTCGGCCGTCCACTGCGCGTCCTACAGTCCTTCCACCACCTGGACCTTCCTTCACTGCCCTCCCCCATCCAAGGTGAGGGTCCCGGGCCCTGCCCCCGACCCAGGGAGCTTGCCAACTCAGTCATCCTTCCTGTCTCCTGAACCTTCACACTTCCTCGTCTTTTCCTCCGCGTACGGAAAAGTCTCTGATGAAGACAACACAACCATGCCGACCCCATGGCTCACACTGTGGTTATTAAGTGGGGTTTGAACCACCAACCTTGGGGTTTGCAGTCCAGTGCTTATGCTACAGCGCCACACCAGGGGTCCACAGCCTCACAGCCTTTGTTTCTTCTCTCCCACCCCTTTAGACTCACACAAACCTGGTTTCTTCTCCCCCGTCCCTCCGAGTCCAGACTCTTAACGGAGGAGCTATACATGCAGTGTCCACGTCCGATCTTCCATTTAGTTCCTAACTGTGTCCACTCTGGAGGTCATCAGCAAACTCGACTGCCCAACCCAATGACCAATGTCCCGTCTCTATTGGAATTCTTTCTTCCTGGTAGCCCACCCTGATTGACTCTGGTGTCACCTCCGTCCCCTCAGACTCTCTCAGTCACCGTGTCTAGCTCCTTCCATGCTTGTCTTCCTCAGGGTTCTCCTGCCACCTGCTCCTGCAGGAACCCATCGTCTCCATGGCACCCAGGCACAACAGCTGAAGCCGCTCCTTCAGTCAGACCTCTCTGCGGACTGACTCACAGGCTCAAATCACCACGAGGGTGTCTGCACCGCCAGCCTCTCAGCAAGAGCCCAACAGAAAACTCCCTCTTCATGACCTCCACCTGCTTCTGCCATCATTAACGTTACCAGGAAACCCCGCTCTAGTCCGTCCGCCCAGAAGTCTGGGAACCCTAACTTGCCCTCTCTGCCTAGACATACGGCTACCGCCTTGGTCACAACGGTATCGCTTCTGGCCTGGTCTGTCACTGGGGCCCTTGCCTTTGGCCTGCTGGTGTGTACCACCGAGTCAACACCAACTCATAGCAACCCTGTGTGACCAAACAGAACTGCCCACAGGGTTTCCAAGTACATGACCTGCATGGGAGCGGCTGGTGGGTTTGAACCACTGATCTTTCAGTTAACAGTCAAGCTCTGTAATCGCCATGGCTCTGCGGCCTCTGGCTGGTCCACATTCAGTCACTGTCCACACTGAGGCCAAACGGCTGGACTGTGCTCAAGACGTCCTCAACCCCAGTGTGTGGAGGATGGAAGTCAGAACCACATCCAACAGCCACACCTGCCCCCACTCTACACCAGCTTCATTTCCTGACATCCTACAGCGCCCCCGTAAAGATTACGGTCCTACAGGGGAGCTCTACTCTGCCCTGTGTCTGAACAGACTTCACAGCAGCGGGTTGATCTGTGTGTGGGGGGACCCAGACCTGACAAGAGACCACCTTCCCCGTGGGGGAACCCAGACTTGGCACGAGAGCCACCTTCCCCGTGGGGGGACCCAGACCTGACATGAGACCACCTTCCCTGTGGGGGGACCCAGACCTGACATGAGACCACCTTCCCCATGGGGGGACCCAGACCTGGCATGAGACCACCTTCCCTGTGGGGAGACCCAGACGCTGCCCTCAATGCCCCTCCTGTCTTCCCGTCCCAGCGTCTCCAGACTGAAAACCACCACATTCCTCCCTGCCGCATGCAATCTCCTCTGGAGGGCAAGATACATGTCGGGTTTGACTTTGCGTCTCCCGGGTCCCACATTTACACAGGCACTTACTTTCTTGCCCCGTCCCCCAATGCTGACCACGCTTCTCACCCTAGGGAGCCACACCCCAGCTGCCGAGCTCAGAAAGCCTGCTCTTAATGTTGACTTGACTCCCATTCTGTGGTGGGGTTATTTTTAAAATTTAATTCTTTAATCCAATTGGGGTTTATGTCAGAAGGTGAAGCTATATTTGCCAAAAGTTCTGCAATGAGCATGTATTACTTTAATATTAGAAAAACAGCTCAGTGCTCTAGATATTAACACTGGACATTCCGTCTGCCCATTTCTAGACTGTGAGCTGGCGCCTTTGGTTGGCATCGGCTGTGGCACTTTGTCCACAGCTAGGGAGCACTTCCCTGTCAGCGTCTGTGCGGGTCTGCACCGAGCTTGCCTCGATGCCAACGTTTTGGGACATCTAGACACAGCACCAAGGAGCTCTGGTTGCGTAGTGGTTATGAATTGGGCTGCGAACCTTAAGGTTAGTAGTCCGAAACTACCAGTTGTTCCGCAGGAGAAAGATGAGGTTTTCTGCTCCGGTAAAGATTTATAGCCTCGGAAACCCTGTACAGGGTCGCTCTGGGTCAGAACCGACTCCATGGCACACAACAACAACAACAACAACAGTCACAATAGCGCTTTCTCTAATGAGGGGACTGCCTGACCATGGTGCTGACCGTGGTGCTGACCACCGCAACAGCCACTGGCTGAAACCATTAGAAATCTACGGATAGAGACACAAGTCTGGTTGGCTATGTTGCTGTCAGGTGCCGACGAGGTGGTTCTGACCCACAGTGACCCTGTGCACATCCTAGGGAGGCTCGGCCCGGTTCTGAACCATCTCACAGCTGTTGTTACACTTGAGCCCGTTGCTGATGTCACTGTGCCAGTCCAGCACTTTTGGGGTCTCCCTCTTTTTCGCTGACCCTCCACTTTACCCAGCATGATGTCCTAGACACGGATACGGACACACGACACTGGAAAAGGTCCAGGCCAAGCTGTTCAGGTCTGCCCAGTGAGCGTGAGGACAGGAATGAGCAGGCTGCGGGAAGAGGGCGTTGAAGACAAAGGAGCCGTGGGGCTGCGTGGTCATGAAGGGAGTGAGCTGGTAGGTGAGAGGTGGCTGCTGATCAAAACAGGAGCCACCAGGCTCTATGGGGTGTATGCAGGGCTTAGGTAAAGGGCAGGGTGCCTTCGTTGGCCCCATTCCAGTGATGGAACATGTCACTTAGCTCCAGAGTAGGGACTTTAGAAAGAATCCCAAATGCGCACGTCACAGGTAAGTGTAAACTCCACTTACCTGAAGCGTGCTGAAAAAGTGGGCAGCCTTGGTCTTCAGTGGCCCGAGATACCAGTATCTGAGAGGGAGCAAGATGAGAGTCGATTAGCGCGGCGGCGGTGCCCTGACCCAGCCCTCCTCTGTGGGTGCTGCCCCTGGAGGTATGTGCACTGGGGCCTCCTGGAACGGGTATCACAGCAATGCACGTCCAACGGTCTCCAATGGCGTTCAGCAGACGGACTCCAGTGATGGGTCAGGCCTGTGAAACCACATCGCTGCCAAGTATTCTCCCAGCCAGCAAATGTGGAGGATGGGCATTCGAGAAAGCAGCTCTTGGAGCGGAGAACAAAACCACACAGAAATGCAGACGCCGGGAGCGGAGGGCTCACAGGCTAACCGCCTGGTCAACCTCACACACACACACACACACACACACCGTACAACTATGTGTGCGTCACTGTAGCCTCACACGCATGTGAGTCAGTTTCAAAGTACAAATGTTAACTCTGAGCATGAAAATGAAAACCCCAAACCAAACCACCCACTGCTGCCGAGTCGATTGTGACTCACGACGATTCCACAGAGCCGAGCAGAACGGTCCACCTTCGTGTGAGCAGAGCGGCTGGGGGCTTGGCACTGCTGACTTTGCCATTAGTACTCCCGCGCCAAGCCCAGAGCCCCCCCAGAGCTCCCAAGAATGAAAACAGTCTGTTGACTATTTCTAAACCTGACTCGACGGCTCACCACAACAAAACAGCAAATCCAGAGAAGATGCCGAAGACACAGAGATGACAGGTCAGAATTCACAAGGAGGCACAAGCTGCCACTTCCTGCCCCATCGTACCTGCTGACTTATCACCTACGGTGGCTGTGGCGGTAACAGAAGAGCTATAGTGTGTAAAATTCCTGCCTTTGGGGCTTATGAATGGAGAAAGCTGGACACTAAAAGTAATGGAACCATCATGGCTGTGTGTGACGGAATACACTGTGGTGCTACACAGGATAAGCACTGGACTGCAAACCCTGAGGTCCATGGTTCAAACCCAGCAGTCACTCCTGGGAAACCCGATACAGGGTTGCTGAGTCAGAATCGACTCGATGGCACTAACAGTAACAACCCATACTGACAGGGAGTCCTGGTGTGGTGCTGTAGGATAAGCCCTGGACTGCGAACCACAAGGTCAACGGTTCAAGCCCACTAGCAGCTCCATGGAATTGGGTGAAAGTTTACAGGGCAGAGCATCAGTTTTACATTCAATAAATCATATACTTTGTTTTAGTACAATAATTATAATCCCCTCCGTGTACCATCAGTTAACAGTATTTCTCGTTATTCATTTTAGCTCTTTTTTAAAAAAAAAACAAAACACTCAGGTATATATAATAATTTAAACCACCAAAGGGCACATTCTGCAAGCCTGCCTCCTGGCCACCAGCACTCAGTCCCTCTCTTCCGAGTCTACAGTCCTCAGCTGCTCCCTCTCTCCATGTCCCCATCTCTGATGTTGCTGCGTCTCTGGATAGGGTCCTGCATTCTGCTTGTGCTCATCTCCCTTGATGGTCCTAGGATCCTCTGTTTCTGGACTGTAAGATTAACTACTTCCTTGTTTTTGTTACAAAACTTCTACGTTTACAATTGCATCTCCCCTCACTTCATATCAGCTAGATGCTTCACTCTCAGCTCTAGCCCTCTGTGGCTATGTCCTTGTCCATGGGCTCAGGTATCCCCAGGTCTTTGGACCAACCAGCCCTTCCTCTGCTCTCTTTCATTTCCAGGTTAATGGGAGTCTACGGAGCGTGGTTGAACTCAGTCCATGTCTTCATTGCAAGCTGTTTTTTCCAAAGAGCCAAAGCATCAGACCACACAAAGGAATTCCTCTCCCCACACCGTCCGATAGGTTTTATTTTTACAAAGGTCTTTATAGTCTTCTTTTCCTGTGCAGCTAGAAGGACACCTCTCGATGGGGACAAGCCTCACATCCTGACTCCATTCCCTCAGACATACAGCTACTCACTGGTACCAAGTGACAAGTGCCAGGACTTTAAAGCTCATCATTCAGAAAGCAATCAAGATCCCCACAGGACTGTCCAACTCAGACAGGGCGCCCCAATGTCACCTATGGACTCTGGTCAATAATGCCGTATCAGTGTTGGTGCATTAGTTGTAGCAAACACACCCACAGTCAAGCAAGACGAGAGTAACAGAGAAACGGGGTGCATGGGAACTCTGTAGTTTCTGCACAATTGTTTTTATAAAATTCTACGGTCCTAAAAAATAAAGCCTATTAAAAATACAAACACTGAGAATCACTTGAGGCATCTAACAGGGCTGACCTGTGGCCATGCTTAGGGCTGATGAACACACTATGGAAGGAAGGCAGTATCAGACTTCTCCAGGAGAAGCTAAGCACTACCTCGTGGTGAGCTGTGGGAATTTGAGATCACAGATCAAATACAAGGCAATTTCTGGAATTAAGATATAGCCATGTGTACTTGCAAATAAGATGTGAAATATTTAAGAATGCTATGTGTGTAATATGCACTGTAATATCTCTCTTTTGACATTCCGCTGCCAGAAACCTCATCAGGGGGGATAATAAAGGAAGCAAATGAGAGGGCAGTAAGAGAGGGTGCTGGGCCGCCTGGGACAGGAGCCGGCACAAGATCAAGGGGTGACTCAGGCCCCGAGGAAGCCTCCTGGGTTCTCCAGGGCCATCTCCGTCCTGGAGATGTTCCTCCTCCGTCCTTCTCCATGGGGACAGCCATGTTCTAAGTGCTAGGCCTCAGGAAGTAACTGGGGAGAAGCTCGCCAGGACAGGAAAGGTCTGGGTGGTGGCCACACTGCCCTTGGTGCCCAGTGAGGTGAGCTACAGGGGGCCAGCTCCCAGCTCTGCCTGAAGGCTGGCCTGCACGGGACCTGTCAGCGTGGGCCAATAACAGATACCACGCTCTTCTCTTCTCCAGCCACTGACTGGCCAATGTTGGGGAAACCGGGCAAACCTTTCTACAGGACCATGAGCCTCTCTGATGGCCCTGACCCTATTGTTCCACGTACTCCAGCCTCCAACCCAAAGCCCAATAACCCTACAGAACAGACTGCCCATAGGGTTTCCGAGCAGATGGCCTCTTTTTTTCACCTCTAGGCCCCCAGACTTATCCCCATAAGACCACCACATCTTAAGAGACAGAAGAGGAGGGCTTACTTGCTGACTTTGACTCCGGCGTCCCGGAAGGACCCCCATCGCAGGCCAGTCATGGCGAACACGGGCTGTTCCTTGTCACCCTGGAAGGTGAGCACAGCAACTTTAAAAGAGCGGCTGGAACCTGCAAGCCCCCAGCAATGTGCGTGGCCGGCTGTCCACCAAGCCGACGTGCTATAGTCACGCAGATTTTAGACAGGGCTGGGGAGCAGCGAGAGGCAGATGGTCAGGAGACAGCCGAGACAAACAGGCAGGCACACATTTGTGATATGTTTTTGTTGCTCCTGTTGTTGTTAGGTGCCCTTGAGCCAGCTCTAGCCCACAGTACCCCGCTGTAGAGTGGAATGAAACTGTGGTGGCGTCAATGATTAATGTCTCTTCCTGATGTCATCTTTCTAACTCCTATCAACTGACTCTTCCCTGGTGGCTCTGGGTCACAGAAGTTGGGAGAGAGGCTGATAGGATGCTATGATTCATCTGTGAATGACTGACTTCATTGTGATTGTGAAAACTTGGGTTTAAAATGAGCCACCTCGGAAGCAGAAAGGTGGATCTCACTACCATCAAAGAGAAGCCAAGACTGCAATGTGTCATCTGGACCCAGAAACGCCCGTGTTGAACCTTCAGGACCCATGGGCTGAACACTGTGACCCCAGAGGAGGGGCAGAGGAGCAGCAGCTGAACCAAGAACCAGAGCAGCAGGCAGAGCGGAGGCCTTCCCAGCCCACGGAGCAAGTCCAGCTGAGTGACTCTGGGCAGTAGCCTCGCCTGCAGAGTGGGGTGCATTCAGGCACTTAAGTGGGGGAGCCAGAGCCACGTGCCTCTAGGCTAAGGCTTGCAGTGGAGTGGTGTGCCCTGTGAGCATCTACCCGAAGCTTCGTACCACTGCCAGGGCGGAGAGGCTGTCCTGACAGAAAGAACCGGCCCTGAGCATTTCTGACCCTGAATTGTACCCTAATTTGCCTAAGAAACCTCACAGCTGTGAGTGTGGTGTCTGAGCTCTGTGTGGTCTATGGAATAGACACTGGAACCCAGCGGAGAAGCAGCGAGGCCTGTGGGAAGAAGGGGCGGAGCCATGTCCAGTTTCTGCAGACAGGCTCTCAGTGGCAGCTAGTTCCTTGTTGTTGCCAGGTGCTGGCACGTCCCTTCAGATTCACGGTGACCCTGTACACAACAGGACACTACACTGCCCAGTCCAGGACCAGCCTCACAATTGTTAGCTGGAGCCCACTGCTGCTGCAGTGATGTCAATCAACTCATTGGGGGTTCTTCCTCTTTGTCGCTGACCCTCCACTTGACCAAGCATGACATCCTTCTCCAGGGACCAGTCCCTCCTGAGAACATGTCCAGGTCTCACCCTCCTCTCTTCCAAGGACCACTGTGACTGCATTTCTTCCCACACACATTCGTTTGTTCCGGCAGTCCAGGGTACTTTTAATATTCTTCTCCAGTCTTCCTTACTCACCGTCCACCTTTCACATGCTTATGTTGTTGTTGTAAAAGTCTGTGGAGTAGACTCATAGTGACCCTGTATAGGGTTTCGGAGGCTTTAAATTGTTATGGGAGCAGAAAGCCTCATCGGGTGGTGGGCTTAAACTGCCGACCTTACAGTTTGCAGTCCAGTGCTTATCCAACGGAGCCACCACACTCTCACATGCAGATGAGATGTTGTTGTTGTTAAGTGCCGTCGAGTCGGTTCCGACCCATAGCGACCCTGTACAGGGTTTCCGAGGGTGTAAATCTTTACGGGAGTAGAAAGCCTCATCTTTCTCCCGCGAAGCGGCTGGTAATTTCGAACCACTGACCTTAAGGTTCGCAGCCCGATTCGTAACCACTACGCTACCAGATGAGATGAGGCAAATGAAAATACCCTGGCTGGATTCAGGCACACGTAAGTCCTCAAACTGATCTCTTTACTTTTTAACACGTCAAACTGTGCCTAATGCAAAAAGTAAGGAGTCCTGGTGTGGTGCTGCGGGTTAATGCGCTGGACCTTAAGATTGGTCTGAATGCAAGGTCGGCGGTTCAAGCTCACCAGCCACTCCCAAGAAACCCTATACAGGGTCACTATGGATCAGAACCCATTTGATAGCAGTTAACAACAACAAATGCGAAACGTCATTTCCTTTTTTTTTTTTTTCATTTCTTGACTGCTGCTTCCATGAGTGTTGATTGCAGAATGTATAAAGTATGAAGCTAGGAAAACTAGAAGTTTTTTTTTTTTTCTTAATTTTTAAGAGATAGGAAGAAAAGACTGTACCTTGATCTGCAAGACATCAAGTGGGACTGTCTCTCCTTTCACAATGGCGAGGGCGGCATTGGTAATGTGTCTATGAGACAATGAGAGGGAGGGGTGGAGTGAAGGAGCAACAGACCCCACCCACTCCCAGGCACATGCTAGCAGACACACACATAGCCACATCCTTACACACAACCACACCTTTACACACACACAAACATCCACATGCACACACCCATGACCATGTCCCTTTAACCCCCTCTACACCCACACACAACCACACCATCCCACAACATACAACCAGCTACCGTCCCTGCCCCTCCCCTCCAACACACACACACATAACCACATCACTTCCCAGAGCATGAGCGATGGGATCAGGCTCAAAGATTTCAAGAGGGGACAGAGGGCAGGGTGGAATCCTGATAGGAATACAGCGGCGGGCTCTGACCAGAACCTAGAGAAAGCTTTGCAAGAGGACGCTCATACTGATGACTGATTTATTTAACCGTTACTGAGTCTAGACACTGTGCGGAGGCAGTTATCACTGGTTAAAAATAAGCTGTAAACATTGTAATTGGTCTTTATGACATGTGAAATGCCGTCTGGTAGGTTCCGACTCATAGCGACCCTGTGTAGTGTTTCTGAGCAGCAGCTGGTGGGTGTGAACTGCCAACCTTGTGATAGTATGGAGCTACCCCAGGAACCCTACACAGGGTTGTTGTTGTTGTTCAGTGCCATCGAGTCGGTTCCGACTCATAGCGACCCTGTATAGGGTTTCCAAGGAGCGTTTGGTGGGTTTCAACCTTGTGGTTTGCAGTCCAGAGCTTATCTTACAACGCTACACCAGAACGCCTTAAGCAAGAAAAATGATCTAAGTTTGAAAGGGCTAAGTTAATTTTTTAACTTCTTGTGAAAAAATTCACCCTTGTAACTTTGCCAACCACAGTCACGGAACCACCAGGATGGAGGCGTGCAACATGTCCAACGACCCCCAAAGTTCTCTCATGACCCTGTGGTCAGTCGCCTGTGGCATCGTCAGCTCCTGACCCATTTTCTATCTCGATGGCTCTGTCTCTTTCAGAATTCCAGACCCGTGAGACCAGTCCAGCTTCGCCCACTCAGTGTGAGTTGGAGATCCATTCATGTTGTTGGATGTATGGGTAGATGCTTTCTCTCCGGTGCTGAGCAGTCTTCCAGCCATTTACCACAGGATGGACAGGGGGCTTTATTAGAAATTACAAATCAATGACTGTGGTTGTTTGTCTGTGTAGCTTCCTTTTTCTTGAGTAAATATGTAAAAAGTGAGGTTGCTAATTGCACCTTAAGCGGTGGTGGTGTATGTGCCATGGAGTCGGTTCCGACTCATAGCGACCCTTACAGCGTTTCTGAGGCTGCAAATCTTTACAAGAGCAGAAAGCCTCATCTTTCTCCTGCGGGACCACTGCTGGTTTTGAACTGTTGACCTTGAAATTAGCAGCCTGACTTGTAACCACTATGCTATCAGAGCTCCTAGCACGTTACGCTAGGTTTCATTTCTAAGAAGCTCCAAGTGGCCATGTGCTTCCCACCAGTGACGTGACTTCCCCTTGCTCCACATTTTTGTTGCCAGTCCCTTCCTTCCTTCCTCCTGATTCTGCTGAAGCCGTTCTATCAGCCTGGTGTGGCCACGCAGGATCAGAGCTTCACCAGCTGCTCCTCGGAAACCCTAGTAGGGTCTCTGTTAAGTCCGAACTGACTCCATGGCACTTAACAACAACACTATGTCCCGGTGTGGTGCTGTAAGACAAGCACTAGACTGCTAGCTACAGGTCAGCAGTTCAAACCAACGAGCCATTCCTTGGAAACCCTACTCAATGGTTGCTTTGCGCTGGATCTGACTCAGCGGCAATTAAACAACAACAGACTCGTAGCAGCATTTCATTATGGATTTAATTTGCATTTCCCTAAGGATTAATGATGCTGAATATCTTTTCAGGGCTTATTAACCATCCTATGTTTAGCTTCGTATAATCTTCTCAAGAAGCACTATTATTGTGCGTATAATAAACACGGGAGAACACGAGGGTCAGGGGGATAAGAAGAATCGCCAAGATGATACAAATTAGACTTCAGGTCTCACTCCAAAGGTGTGCCTCTCTCTACCTTGTGAGGCTGCCTTCTGGACAGACCCTATGGAGACCTATGGAACCCCAAAGGGAGACCCACACCTGACACTTGGCATTCATCAGGCCTCTATACAGAAAACGCCCAAATCAAGCACATTGACTTTGATCGGTGTTTTCTGACAGCTTCAGACATCTTGTCATTATTGTCCACTGTGACTCCTAGCGACCCTGGAGGCAGAGCAGAACTGTCCACAGGCTTCCTAGACTATCTTCGTTAGAGAAGAAGATGCAACCTCTTTCTCCTGCCGAGCAGCTGGAGGTTCGAACACCCTCTGCGCATTTAGCAGCCTCTGCAACACCAGGGTTCCTTTACTGTCGCTAAGTGCCATTGAGTCGGTTCCGACTCACACCAACCTTGGAAATAGGGTTTCCGAGGAGCGGCTGGTGGGGGTGAACCGCAAACCTTACAGTTAGCAGTCTAGTGCTTGTCCTAAAATCTTAACACTATAAACGTTAACTCCAGTATGTGATTAGACTTGGGTTCCCTAGTTATTGTTAAGTGCTGTTGAATCAGTTCCAACTCATAGCGACCCTGTACAGTGTTTCCGAGGAGCAGCTGGTGGGTTTGAACTGTTGATTTTGTGCTTCTCAGTCCAGTGCCGATCCCACAGCACCAAAAAAGAAACAGTCTATCTTTTTCTCTCATTTTTATTAATACTCTTTTATCCCCCTTTCCTCCAGGAAACTGATGGTACTCGGGAAGTTAGGAGCAATTTAGAAAATGAGCTTTCGTTCAGGAGAAGGCCGGCAGTGTGACCAGTGCTCAGATTCATCAGGTCTGAATTTGATGGTCCTGGAGGGAGCCCTGAGGAAGGCCCAAAGTGCTCAGTGTCTGCCCTGAACGCTGCCTAGCAGCCCTGAGCCCCCTACCCGCCCTGAATGCTGCCCGGCGGCCCTGAGCCCCCTGCCTGCTCTAAGTGCTGCCTGCTTATGGAGGGGCTGAGGGATTCTGGGAGACTGACTTGAAACCCAAGATGCTGCTGTAGCTCAGAAGCCCTTTCATATCACTTCAACATACTGTTCCCTAAACTTCTTCACAGAAGACAGTGGAGACACAGCCTCCAGCGTATCCTTGTCCAGCAAGAACGGAAAGTTCTAAATAAAGCCACGTGGTAGCAGGGCAGACCGGGTTCAGGCTGAGGATGCACCTACATCATTCCAAAGTCACGGCTCTGCCCTCTCTGGAAACAAGTTCAGCACGACCAGGCTTGTAGGAGACACAGAGCAAAGCCTGCCTCTCCTGGAGCAGCTGGTGGAGAATGTCTGCTTGACCCCGAGCCCGGGACGTGCTTGTCAACCAAGCTTGACAAACGTTTATATTACAAACAGAAGCAACAGGACATGAACTGCAGAGGGCAGCTGAACTGTCCACCTCGACATCACTGGCAACCGTTATTCAGAAATGTTTGAGTCTGGAAGCTCCGTGAAAACCTGCCCAGTATACCAGCACACAAGACTTGACCAACAGGTGACTGTGCATGGGGCACTGGCCAAGAATCGAACCCAGGTCTGCAGCAGGGGAGGAGAGAATTCTTATAGAATTTGTGCCTCCTATGCTGGAGACCTGGGTTCGATTCCCAGCCAATGCACCATGTACAGCCACCATGCCAGCAGTCTGCAGGGGAGGCTGACATGTTGCCAGGATGGTGAACAGGTTTCAGAAGAGCGTCCAGACTGAGGTACACTAGGCAGAAAGGCCTGGAGACCTACTTCAGAACTCAGTCACATGCTTAACAACTCCTTCGTGGATTCCGCCTCTGACATCAAGGCCATAGGCCCAGCCTCCCCCAGGGACACGTGTCTCCGTGCATGCAGAAAGCAAAGATGCCACAGGTGTCTACCCAGAGAAAGGGCAGCAGGAAGGTTTGGAGAGGGGGCACTGCCGTGGATGACAGAGGTCATTAAGGACAGATGGTCATGTCCAAGCAGCCCCACAGCCCACAGGACAGCTTCTCTCTGAGCCAGGTCCCCAAGTGCCCACCACACACGCAGGCTTCTCCTTTCGACAACGACAACCTACTGGACTTGGTTTCCACTTTTAGTAAAGAGGGTCTGGCTAAGGCTGCTCTTCTGGCCCAGCGGGATGAATCCAATGGGGATCTTACTGAAGGCAGCCTGCGGGAAAGGAAGAGGGGAACTGTCAGTTTTGCAGGGAGAGGCTCAGAGTGTCCAGTCCCTCCTCCCTCCCCAGGCCCCTCGAGGAGCAATGGGACAGCAGTCTCAGGACAAGGACGTCCAGAGGGAAAAGAAAACGAGCTAGAATTCAAAGCCGCATCTGGGAACTCACGGATAGAAGAAAGAATGCAGTGAAGATAAGACCGCCCTTCCGAAAACCCAAGGAGGCCTCAGTGCACCCCCAGAAATGGAAAAGGGGGAGAAAACCTCCAAGAAGTCAAGAGTTTCTTTACAGCTCACCTCATCCGCTCTTCGAAGAACTCCAGTAATCACCTATGTAGGTTAAAACATAAAAATCAAAACATGAAGGGTTACAAGCAACATTTCTTTCTTTTATCATCAAAGAATTGGATTCAGTCTTCACATACCATAAACAAGCTCATTTCTGTTTTCCTGGAAACTGTCACAAAAAGGTACTGGATATTAAAACACAGGGCAACTTCCGTAGTAAGGTCAGGGCAAAGTCAGGGTTTATTTATGGCTACCCTAACTGCAAGAGTCCTGGTGTGGTGTTGCGGGTTAAAGCAGTGGACTTCAAGGTCAGTTTGAACCACAAGGTGGGAGGTTCAAGCTCACCAGCCACTCCTTGGAAACCCTACACAGGGTCGCTATGAATCAGAACCGACTCGACAGCACTCCACAACACCCTAACCACAGAAGTCCTGGTGTGGCGCTGTGGGTTAATGTGCTGGACTGCAAGGTCAGCTTGAACCACAAGGTCAGCGGTGCTGGCTCACCAGCCGCTCGACAGCTGTGGGTTTCGGTATTTTGGGTTTTCTTGCACTAACCAGTGCATGTTTCCACACAGTTGTGATTAAACACTCGAGGTGGCATCTTGCTTTACAACAGTTTGTAAAGAAGCAAAAACCACACCCACTGCTGTGGAGTTGATGCTGCCTCGCAGCTGCTCTATGGGACAGGGCAGAGCTGCTCCGCAGGGCCCCCGCCCCCTTTGGGTTTGCAGTCAGGCACTTAACAGTGCGTCACCAGGAACACATGTTCCTCCTCCACTGCATTTCAGGGGTAATTTGAGGTTGACTACATTCTTCTTGGCACCCTATCAGTATTCTTCACACCTCATTAGAAAGCCCTGAAACCAATTACAATCAGCACCGAGTTTGACAAAGCTGCTTATGAAGGATCTTAACTGCGACATCAAACACAGGACTGAGCTCTGGCTGTGACAGCCACCATGAAGAGACCAGAAACAGGACACCGCATGATCTACTGTGTACAGGACGGAGGGCAGAGCAGAGGCGGGCCATCCACACAGGGGCCATGAAGCATAGCCATCTCCTTCCTGGGTCATAGGTCATGGGTAACCACCAAGGACTGGGTGTCTCCAGCAGGAGCCGTGTCTCCTGTGAGTTTACTGGACAGTGGGCACCCACAGGTGCAAATGGACGGATGGACTTCTATGTTGTTGTTGTGAACCGACTCACAGCAACCCTGTGTAGGGTTTCCAAGGCTTTTTAAATCTGTGTGGGAGCAAAAGCCTCGGTTTGTTTTCTCAGAAGCATTCCTCATCCTGGAAACATAATTCTGTCACAAGGAGGGGTTGCTTCTTCCCCATCAGGGTCTTCAAAACAGAAGCAGCCCAGCCCACCCAGCACAACCTGATCTCCGGGTCTAGTCTGCTGTCTGTGTGAGATGGGGAGAGGGTTTCCACAGAGCACAACAGAAAAGTACGGAAGGACAACTGGAAGCACCGTTCTCACGGACAGCAGCAATCCTCGGGAAGCAATGGCAGGGCAATCGCTGCCGGCAGCCACTCCCGTACCTCCTGCAGGGTCCCGTCCCCTCCAGCCACGATGACCACATCCGTGTGCTCCAGCAGCTCCAGAAGTTTCTTGGCCTGACCCTCATAGTCCGTCTGAAACACAAAAGGCTGTCATGAGTCATCCATCACCCAGGGACCATGGGACGAAGGCTAACAGGTGTGGGGAGTTTCCTTTTAGGTTTTCTCTAGAGTCTCCTCGGAAATTTCACACCACTGACATGAGAGAGCTGGGAGGGACCTCAGAGGCCATGCAGCCAGCTCCTTGTTCACAAATATGACAGCCCGACCCAGTTTGTCGGTCCCGGGGCCCAGGTTCCCCATCCTTTCCTGTTCCTCACAGGGCCACATCAGCCATAACAACCAGTTCCCTGAGAATCCGTGACTTCAAGCTGGTCCGCACCCAGGTAATGTTGTTGTCGTTGTGAAGTGCCGTCAAGTCGGTTCCGACCCATAGTGACCCTCTAGAGGGTTTCCAAGGAGCAACTGTTGAGCTTGAACCGCCAACCTTGCAGCTCAAACCAACTTTGCAGTCTAGCGCATTAACCCACAGTGCCACACCAGGCACCCATGTAATAGCTCCCCACAATTTCTTGGGTCACCAGAAACACCTCAAACTATTAACTGGAATGTAAACCGCTCCCAGGCTTCCTTTATTTGATACACTGACGAAGAACATTTCTTCTGTGGTATTTCTGCTAAAAACGCCTCATCTGAACCTGGGCATGGCAAGACACCAGAGGAACCCACACTGAGGGACACGCTACTAAGCCATTAGTGACCTGCCACTCTTCAGGAGTGACATTGATGCCAAACAAGAGCTTAGTGCAACCTGGAGTCCTGGATGCCTTCTCTTGTAACAAAAGATGCTGGTAGGACAGTGGATTTACTTAAATAAAACTCTACAGATTCTTAGGAATCCTGAAAACCTCTATCAATTCTATAAATCAAAAGGTTTGTAAAAAATGCAATAGAAAGATAATGGAATTTCTCCACAAACTTTCTGGAGCCCCCTCGTATACACATACAAGAGAAAAAGAACAAGCGAGAATGCCTGGAGAGAAGGAAATCCGGGTAAAACATGCAGATGGACATTCTCCAAATTACTTTTTTGACTTTACTGCACTTGGAATTACGGGCATGCCTCATTCTGTTCCAGACCAACACAATAAAGCTAAGACCACAATAAAAGAAGTCACACGGTGTTAGGGGGCTTCCTGATATATACAAAAGTTATGCTGACACTATTTTGATAGTCTATTCTGTGTGCTAGCTATATAGCAGGATGAAAATGTCAGGAATTTTGCAAGAATGACCAAAACAGGACACAGATACATGAACTGAGCATGTGTTGTGGGAAAAATGGCGTTGATAGACTTGCTTGAGGCAAGGTTGACACAAACTTTCCGTTTGTTAAAAGAACGCGTATCTACAAAGTGAAATAAAGCAATGAGATGGGCTATGCTTGTTCGTCAAAACTACAGTTAAAAGAAAATGTTGTTGGGGAAACAAAGAGTCGCCACTGAATAGTTTTCATCTTGTCTAGATGGGTCTGGTTAAAAGAGATGGAGATAAGATTCTTATGATTCAACAGTGAATAATTGTTTTCATGACTAACTGAGACTGTCACAATGTTAAAGGTAGAAGTTTTGTAACATAAACAGGGGAATGGTTAATCTTACCATCCAGAAACATAGTATTCTAGGATCATCAAGGGAGAAGAGCACAAACAGAGTGCAGGACCCTATCCAGAGAAGCAGCGACACCAGAGAGGGGAACATGGAGAGAGGGAGCAGCTGAGGACTCTAGACTCATGGGAAGTGAGGGACTAAGAGATGGCAGCTAGGAGGCAGAATGTGCCCTTTGGTGGTTTAAATTATTATATATGCCTGAGTGTTTTAAAAAAAAAAGCTAAAGTGAATAGAGAGAAATACTGTTAACTGATGGTACATGGAGGGGATTATAATCATTGTAATGAAACAAGGTGTATGATTTGTTGACTGTAAAACTGATGATCTGCCCTGTAAATTTTTACTCAATTCACAATAAAAACCTTAAAAAGAAAAAGAAGAAAATGTTAAGGCCTGTCCAATTGGTTCCAACTTACAGGTGACCCTTCATAGGGTTCTGAGGAGCAGCTGGTGGGTTTGAACAGCTGACCTTGTGGTTAACAGTTAGTGTTGATCCTACAGTGCCACACCAAGATTCCTAAAAGAAAATATAGGCCCAACAGCAGTTTCTAATGAGGTATACGAAGAAAACAGTAGTATCCCGGTTAATTTTTTAGTCTCTTCCTTTTAAACTTTTATTTTCTGTATATTTGTTATGATGCATATAGTACACTAGAACTTATATATAATTTATAAATGTCTTAAATTTAAAAATAATAAGGATAGGGCCCAGGAAATTTTAACATGGACTAAATAACCTGAGTTGGTATTCTAGAACTATTATTTTGGTTGGCTATGATAATGTTTCAGTTATGTAGAGAAGCACCCTTAGTTTTTAAAAGAATCCACTGCCATTGAGCTGCTTGTGACCCATGGCGACCCTATACAGGGTTTCCGAGACTGTAAATCTTATGGGAGCAGACAGCCTCATCTTTCTCCCACAATTTCATATATACGTATGCTCAAATATTCAGGGGTGAAAGAGAGGGCGCCCTGCTCTCACGGATGATGGAGACATGAGAGTGAGACCGTCTCAGACCCGAGAGGTCAGCACAAGAGCAGTCAGAACAGACGGCTGGCGAACAGGACCATGGACAGAGAAGGCGCTGCCGTTTCCAGCCACTGGTATAGATACCTGGTATTGAAATGCATTTTAATATACCAATAATTACAAAACACACTGATGACCTAAACTGTTCAGTTAAAAGACACCAATTATTAGACTGGGCTTGTTTAATACTCTGTTTTCATGCCTTTAAAGACACATCTAAGATGTTGTTGTTGTTATGTGCCGTGGAGTTGGTTCCGACTCTTAGCGACCCTGTACAGGGTTTCCAAGGCTGTAAATCTTAATGGGAGCAGAGAACAAACAAGATGGCGGATCGGGTGGCCGTATAGCAGAGAGCTCCGCCAACAACAACACAGAATACCTGACCAAGCAGCCTCAGGGGATGGTCCCAGAACTCTGAACCACATATAAAGGAATACTTAGAAGGTTGGAAGGCTCACAGCTGGGGGAATCTGTGGCAAAAGCAAGAAAT